AGCTTCATTTGGTGTGATCGACAAAAAGAGACAAGTACATGTAGGTGGAAGCTTAAACTAAACACATAAGACCTATATCGATGGGGCGAATTTTCTAGCATTCAACAGTGTTTTGTGGGCGATCCTTCTGAGTTAGTGAATAGCACATGCTCTGATTAAATATAAATGCAAAGCTGTGACACGTGTTTGTTTACTTTATAGGATCATGCAAACAAAGAACTAGAGCTTTGGAACAAAATAATTTCCGCTTTCTACGATTATCAACCCATGTTTTCGACCCTTCTTTTGTTTTCTAGACAGAAGAAAACAAAAGAGTTGTGGTCTGAAATTAAAACGTGGCTGCTTTAATCGTTCATTGTCATAAACTTTCAACACATGCTTGGTTTTCCATGTGGTGATTTCTTCCTTACATCGTACAAATAGTGAAAAGTGAAAGGTAAAGTCTGTCATTCACAAGCCATATTTATGAAAATAATTATCAAGTTCTCTTCAAGGAATATCTTCCCAGCTACGGATCTGTTCAGCCTTAGGTTTGTCTCATACCAAAATTTAACACACGGAGCACCTATTTTAAATATCGATGAGCTCTTGACGTTCCTGCTAGCGCAATTTAATAGACTTAAAATATCATTAGAAGTAAAAAGAGTTGTATCATCTTTCAAGTTCTTGTTTGATATCAGTTGTACCGGACAATAAGACTGTTCTGGGTAGATGTAAACTGCAAATAGTGGTCAATTTCCATCAGTCAACTCAGTTGATAAAACAAGATCACCTTGTCCCACCCCCCACCGACGCAGCACCACAGTTTCTTTAGAAACTTACCCTCTTTACTAGTGTTAAGGGTCAATGCCCGTATGTAAGTAAAGGCGCTGACTACTAAAAGCTGCATCGTAGTATACTGAGTGAGTCATGGGTATTGATTGCAAAGTTATGAAGTAAACGATTGAAAATGATAAAGCCCGCTCTAAAATGAAAGAAGTTATTACCAGGGCTAAGCTAGATCGAACATCCTCGGTTGCCCGTCAACTTAATTACTTGTGTGAGGCTTTTACACCGTCTTTAAGATTAAGAATAAGTCAGAAATCAGAGAAGTTCTGCTTGACACGATTGCCGAGAGTGGAAGTAAAATTCGACAAGCTAGTGGCGGACTATCCCTTTTACTTATGATGCACGATCCTCGTAGTAGAGAGCGCTATTTATGCAATAGCAAAAATCAGACCTGAAAAAAAAATCAGGCCTGTACGGGATTTGAACCACTGACCTCTGCGATACTAGTGCAGCGCTCTACCGATTGAGCTAACAAGCCAACTGGGAGCAGGCCGTTAAGTTGATTCGTAATAAACCCGTGATGATAAATCAGATACGATGAATATATGAATTTCATATATTCATCGTATCTGTATCCCTTTTGTGTTTTATGAAATCCCAAATTAAAGCTTATGCGCCACTGTGAGATGATAGCTTTCGAAATCACTCAAATGGGAACTTCTTTCTGATCTTGCCCATCTTTATTAGTTCGCACAAGCAATCTGACAAACGATTTTTTTACATGCAGTATTACGCATGCGTCCCACCTTGTCTTAGATAACCGGATCACCTGCTAACTTTGAACTTGAGTTGGTTTTACCTTCTCTGCTGGTAAACAAAAGAGCAAGCGCTCACAAAAATAGAAAGTGATCAGGCCTCGGTAACGAACACATAGCCTCATGATCGATATCTACTACAGCACGAAAAAAAAGGTGGTAGAACTTTAACTTGTGTTCTAAGAGGGTTCTCTTGAATTGCCTTTAACTTCTGGATTTGTCATAAGGTGAGTTTGGTGGCGTGATCACTTCACACAACGGGGGCCTAAAGATTTTTTGTCGGTAGACCACGACAGGGTCCCGTTATAAATGGAAATAAACAAATATCAGTTATTTCATGATAACTATAGTAAAACAATTAAGTATTTTAAATGCGCATTTTGTCAACAGTAGAAATCTTCATTTCAGAAACGACCACCTTTATTAAAACTTCTTTCCCCTACTGATTCATCTTGTCAATTGATCATTAGAAATTCATTTCAAAATAAATACTGATCATTTATTATTATTATTATTATCATTATTATTAGTTTTTATTAAATTAAATTCTAAACTTCAACTCTGCTCAGAGCGAGCACGACCTCTCCGCTTTAATCATAATAGATGTGCAAACCCTCGTTAGCAATTCGGTTTTTCTTCGTTTTGAGCTTGCGCAAAGAGAACAAGGAAATTGCTTTGTTCAAAGCAGTGTCACTTGTCTTTCGGACTATCATCCCCAATCTGGAGCGTAGTTACAAGTAAGGATTAAAATAATTATTAAGTGCCACAACACTAAGCTATGAAAAAGGGACAAATTCTCTTTTATTGTTAAGAATTCCCCTCAGTGAAACTGAGTTTTCATTTCCCGAAAGTCTCAATGTTCCCCGAGCCAAAGCCATTGTTCCCTAGGGGCCATTCATCAAGTATTTTGGTATACCTCTACCCCTAAAAATAGGAAATTGACTACACTGAAAAAGTTTTTTTTTTTTAGCGGGCTGGCACACAAATTTGCTCATCCTGTGCGAGTGGGAAGTCCAAGCTTGGGAGTTAATAGTCGTGTTTTGTTCATTTGTGTTTTACAAAAGAACGACCTTTTAAAACGTAAACAAACATTTAATCTTTAAATACACACGGCACAAATTACTTGAACAACCAAATTTATCTTCGGCTAAATTACGTAAGGGACAAGTCCCTACATCTCCCTAAGGGGATAAGAGGGGGGGAGGGGAGTTGAAGGATTTCGGTTATGCCACAATAAATTTAACTGATCCTCCCTTAGGCTCTGTAATGTTTTTGTAACCCCTCGTTGGTAGTTAATTGGTAGTCAATTTTCCGAAGTACCCCCTTTATGTACTATGTTAGCGACGACTGTGCTCTCTTCCGCTCCCCCCCTAAAAAACATGTGATCCCCCCCAAAAATCCTCCACTCTTTCATAAAAGGCGATGAAAAATGTGGTGTTAAGTAGTGTTCATTACTGCGAAGATCGCTCTGACACTAATTTCTTTAACCGCTGTTCAGATATATTCGCAGGCGTCGACTCATCAGTTTACGGATTTATTACGAACCAACGCAATAAGCAGCTCCCATTTGACTCATTAGCTCAGTTGGTAGAGCACTGCACCAGTATCACAGAGGTCATGGGTTCGAATCCCGTACAAGCCTGAATTTTTTTCAGGCCTTACTTTCGCTACTGCTTAAGTAGTGTTCATTTCTGCCGGAAGATCGCTCACACTATAAATGACATTATGTAACGAAATTGATAAAAATGAATGCCACACAAATGAATGATTGTATATATATAATTGAGAATCTACAGCAATTAATTGGTAACACTAAGTTCGCGTACTATTTACAACTTGTAGTGTTTGTTCCTATTGGGATAAATACCTGTTAGATAATCTTTACCATATTGGTTAGCACACCCTTGACCGCAGTCACGTGATTATCCATATACATCTTTGTATGTAATTAATTTCATCGTTATTCTAATAAAGCAGGTGTGTAGAGCACTTGGTCTGTGCACGCGTTACCTTATAGTAGTACACAACGCTACTGATTTACATTACTGTAGTAAGATTTGTTCTACCCAGGGAATTAGCGAGTTTTAACTCATGGCACGTGACATTTTCAACTACAATCGGAAAACGTATTTAGATTGGGAGGTATAACAATACTTATTATTTCATTTTTCACTTCATTATCCAAAACAGAACACGGAGATGCTTGGGAGTGGCGTTGTGATCATCACAGTCGTTTGCCTCGTATGCTGCACGTGGTTTCTGTGCATTTGGTCCAATGAACTTCGTAAGAAATATCACGTGGACTGACATTCAGGGTAACAGTACGTCGCGACCTGTTGACTGCGAAATAATACAAAATAACTCGGGTTACATAATATTACCACCTAGGGACATTCAAGTTATCAAACAATCGACATGTACAGGAATCTTCCTAAGGGTCAGTTTCGAAATTGTACTTGAACAAAAAATGTGGACTGTATTCAGCTTGTCGTGAAAGCTAGTGCTGGAGCTAGAAAATGGGTAAATAAAATGGTGAAAAATATCCCTGTTCCGTTGACAGAGATTACGGAGTCTTTCAACAAATACCTTCAAAAAAGTTATTTAAAGTATCATGAAACGATCCATTGCGCGCTGTTAGTATCGTACAGTAGTCGCTTTAGCATCATTAGTAGCGTTGGAGGCGAGGAGCTTTGCCAAAGCTCGGCGGAAATGTTGGTGCAGATCGAAAAATCATTGGTATGACAAGCAGGCTGCATTGGGGGAGAGGAAAGCGTTAATCGGACCGTTTGTAGAAAGAAAGAAATAGTTTAGTTTAAGTTTAAGTTTAATTGATTCGCCACAGGAATGGCAGGAGAAAGGAACAGAACTTTCGTTCCAATTAACACCTAACCCCTTTTTTTTACCCACCCATCCCAACCCGGGGAGGACATCCATCACACAGTAATCTCGTTTGTGGGAAATTAACGTCTCCTAGCCCATCCCTGCAGGAGACAGGACCTCCATTTATCGTCTCTATTCGAGAAGACTAGAAAGTCAAACCATTTGCAGATATTATTACAAAGGCAGCACTTTCTTCTCAGTTAATTAAAGACCCTGAGTGTTGGTCCGGCCGGATTTGAGCTCACGATCTCCCGCACAACAGTCCGGGTTTCTACCAATTGAGCTAACCGGGAGGTTAGGA